TAATCTTTTGTGTATATTAATAGCTTTCAATTTTGTTAATTAGAAGAGAAATTCTTTGCTGACTCTCAACGAATATTTAAAAAAATACTTCTTATAATACTTTCATTTTACTTAATTCTTTTTTTGAAAAGCTTTCAGAATAATCATCTCAACTTTAAAGACTTTTAATGTGATTCCTTAACTACTGTTATTATATTGACCTTTTTAAAAGCACTTGCTGTTAAGAGCTGCTTTTATGAGATCCAATCAGTCATCACTTCGTAACCAATTTTTAAAATCAAAGTGCATTTAAAAAAGCAAAGTATTATCATTACTTATTTTTACATTACAGCAATGGTCATACAGATAGCTACGTTTAAAATTGATCAGTTATTCTACTGGTATTTTTGTTTACTATTTCAAGAATATCCCTCAAAAGTGAAGTAAATAAACTTGAAATAAATACCATAAATAAACGATGTCACCAACGACAATGTCAGCAGCACTGATACGCATACGTTCAGTGGCACGAACTACAAAACAATATGATGTTATCATTGATTGAAAACCACGCATATTCTGCAAAATTAGCATAATCAAAAATTGTTCAACAGTAAATAAAATATATGAAAAATGAAGTGTAAAATGTTTTTCTTTTTTTTTAATGATACAGTTTTTATTAGATAATGCATAATTTGGATTTTGTTAAATATTAACTAACACCCATAATATTTAACACTCCTTGCTGAATGTAAACAATAAACAGTGCTTTGGTTCTTTAAATTAAGCATGACTTAGTGATAAATCACTTTGACCGGAGAAATTCTATTTTGAATTATTTTGATCGTAAAATTTTATCAACAATATTCTCTGCTTCAGAATAGTCTAGACGACTTTGCAGATTTTTTAAATAAATTTTAAATAGTCATTTGGAATGAATTTGCAGAGAGAAAAGGTCATCAATACATTCTTAATATGCATCTTTTTTTTTTTTTGATTTTGTTTAAAATGATAAACAAGTATGACCCTTTTGACTTTGTTATCGAGAATGAATTTTTCAGAATTTAATGACACTGTTTTGTTTATGCTGAAGTTGTACTCAAGATATTGCTTCAGTACAAAAAAGTATGCATTTCTTCGAGAAACAAAAATAACACAAATGAAGGTAGTATTGCACACTTGTTGATCAAGTGTTTTTTAATGCCTTTTTAATGACAAAAAACAAAACACAAATTTTATTAAAATAATGCTTAACCTGTTTCGCGCTTCTCTCCTGCCAATAACTCACACCACATAAGATGAAAAATATAATAATCAAAGTAATAGCCAGGTAAAGTTCAATATATCGAGTAGTATCTAAGCTATAAATGATAAAGCACGTGAGAGCAGCTGTAAGTAGCATCAGCCGAAATGTATGTGAAAACTGTTCCAAAAACATTTGAATAGCTGCTCGACCACTTACAGCAAATATTACGTTACGTCCATCAGTGGCTAACCGACTAGCTGCTTCATCCTGTAAAATGCCACTTTATTCCAGCTTCAAAGTACTTATTATTATATTACTTCAAAAGTGAATTAATTGCTTTTTTTTAATTTTATATCGCTTGAAATAAAAAAAGTGCATGTTTGATAACTTGTAAAATTTCTTTTTCGAAAATTCTGGCAAATAACAACCTTGTTCAAACCCTTGCTAAGTTCAGGATTTTCTAAACATATTCTTGATAAAGGATAAAGATCTCGAAGTTGCTCTAATGTCAAAGTATGCTCAAAAAAGTTGCACCCTAATTCAAGCTCCTGCAACAAAACTTGCTATTTATTACAGAAGACATTTGATGATGAGAAAGGGTTTCATTAACCTTTGTTTTTGTAATAGTGAATAATAAGTTAATTGAATAGATATTAAGCAACAAGCTTAACAATCAAAAGTGAAATATTCGAGAAATTTTAACTTAAACTCTTGATTACTTATGCAGTCAAAAAAGTATGAACATAAACTACCTTGAGAAGTTGATGATGTACTACAACCGAAACGTCGACAGGATCCGCAGTAGCAGTAGGTTTTCCCATTGAACAATTTTCTTTTTTAAATATCAACTGAGTTTATAACGAATATCTGTTAGTCAAATGAATTATGATAGTGAATAAGTCATTAATAAAAAAGTTATGAATATTTCATTTTTTGTTTACTTATTACTACTTGCATGAATTACTAATTATCATCATTCTCAACAGTTACATTTGTATTTGTTTGTAGCAAATAAAATTTAAAAAAAAACATTAAAAAATTTTAGTAATTGAGAAAACTTTTCAAATTACCTTTTTTTTCTGCCTAAATGTTTACAATCATCAATTATAAATATAGGTAGTGATAGTAATTCAACGATGTATATATTGTAGTGAAAAAAAATGTTCAACTAATTACTTTTATTGTTTTTTACTGCTGTTTGATATGTCAAAGTTCAAAAAAAAAATTAAAATATAAAGTAAATATTAAAAAGTTCAAAGAAATGATCTTTTGCAATATCATCTGCCCATTACTTCTTTCTTTTTTTATTAGATCAACAACCCTTCTAATTCAAACCTGTTTCTGAATAGTATTACGTCTATTGAAAATTTTGCCACCATGTCAAAACACTAAGTTAAAAATAATCAAAAACGAACTCATCATAGTGCTAAAAATAATATAATTTTACTGATAATAACTCTTGTCATTTTTTCTGCATAAATTATTGCTTATATGAAAAAAAAAATAACCAAAAATGGTACCTAAATAGCATTACACGTTAATAACTATTCTTGCAATGATAAACATTGTAATTTTGTATAGAAATAGCATTTGTGCCATAATCAGCGCTATTTTTCCAATTCTGAAACACTGCTCTTATATAAATACTAATTAAACTTTGGTCGGAAAAAACCAATCTTCTGAGTTATGGAACAATTTGATGTTTGACACTTCAATCACAAACACGATATCGCCTACTACTACTACTTTGAAATTAATTATAGCGCATAGAAATGAAATGAATAACTAAATAGCATTTGTATAAAATTAATCAGCTTATTAATTTTAAATGAAATACGGAAAGTATACACAAAAATATGGTTCATTTTGCAAGACGAATTAAAATTTAGCGCTTTGTACTGACATGCTAAAATAAAGGCAACAATTGTACAGAAGAAACCCAGTAAAATTGAAATGTCTGAAAAGAGTGCAGAGAGCAAGAAATAAAATTTGTGGAACGAACGAGAGAGAAATTAATTTGAACGTTTTTCAATGATAAAAAACTTAAGTAACATGTGAAGAACGTGAGATTATAACGAAAAGCAGAGTCAGAAAAAAAGTAAAAGTGGGAATTTTGTAGGGAAAGTGAAAAAGTAAGTTGAAATTTTAGCTTGAAATGAAAATTGAATGTGCTGACAATCGAAAACAATTCTTCACAATTACTTTTGATTATATTTTTTGAATGAATTGATGGTTATTTTGTAGATGTATGCAAAGTTATGACAATTACCAAAGTGGTTAATAAGTGGTGAATAAACAGTCGTTCAAAAAAATGAAAATGCTACTTATATCGAATCATATCCATTTGCAAAATTAAATATGTGTTTTCGATAAGACTTTTAAAAATTAGGATAATTTGCTTTATTATTATCATAAAATTAGGCTTTTACTTACATTGAAACCAAATAAGACTTTTGACTCGTCATTTCTTAACAAACCATTAAAGTTTATTTTAATGTGAAGAAGTAAAAGCTACAACGTGACTTTATACGTAATTTGTGAGGAGATATAACTGAAAGTTAGAAATTTAATGACTAATTTACTTCACTGAGAAAAGGCAAATTTTCTAAAATTAATGTTTACGTTATTCAAAAAGCTATCAGTTAATTGCACTATGCTAATGCATTTCTTTTTTTTCAGTAATTTAATATTGTAGCAGTACCTGTGAAAACTGGGATATATATAGCAACTGGAAATAATTATTTTATCCATTTTTTTATTGGACGTTGGATAAATGTTACGATAGATTCTCCTTGTTGTATTGCTAACTCTTTGATTTTGATAATTTAATAAGTATTTAACTCAAGTATTATCCACTTATGATCACTTTGTAAAAAAAATTTTCATTATTCAAAAGGAACTTTGTGATCGAAAAGCGTCCTTACTTTATTAATATCACTAAGTAAAAGTAATAAGTAAAGAAATATTTATTGGATAGAAAATGACAAAAAAGCAAAGCTAGTTTTACATGAGCTCAAAACAGCATAAAAATCATTTTATAGACTTTATCATAGCATAATTTATTGTTACTTAGTGTCAAATTATTATTGTTATTATTATTAATTAATCAGTTAATTAATTAATCTTATTATTATTATTATTATTATTATTATTATCACTATTAGATGAAGCTCATGCTGATGATTGAAAACTGATATTTCAAATGCAAGTTATTTAATTTATTCTCAGATCTGAAATCGGATTTTTGTATTGTATTTGCATTTTTAAGGAATGCGCTTACATATATAATTCAGTTTATATTCTATTACATAGATTTGTATATTATGAAGTAGATCTCATTTGATTCTGTTTCCATCTCCAATAGTGAAAAGTTGAAAACTAGTTTTCATTTATAAGTGAACTAAGTGAGCTCCAACTTAGCTTATTCATTAAAGACAGTGATTCAGTAAAAGTATGGAAATTTACAGTCCCATACTAATATCAAATTAATAGTAATAGGTAATCTACTATTTATCTACAGAAAAATCAAGCATTTTAATAATTTTTCTTGTTTAATAATTAATTATTGTTTGTAGCTTTGATTAGAACTTATGAATTATGTAATAAATTTGAAAATGAGATTAAAAAAATGAAAGTCATTTCTCAAAGTAACAAAAATATTAACAAAAATAATAAACATTGATTAAAATACTGGTTTCAAAACTTAATGGATCATTTTTTTTTCAAAAATTAGTGCACAGTTGATTTAGGTACTAAATTTAATCACTACTTTAAAGACGTTTGAATTTAAAAATTAATATTGACAAATAAAATTTATCATAATAATTAAATCGACAGATTGGCTGAATTAAAGAGCAGTGCAAAAAGTCCATACCAATCATAACTAACTCAGTCAGTAATATTTGACCTTGATTTACATTACCAAGTCATTATCAGTCATCTCGATTCAGTCTTATCAGTAATTCATTTCATTTTTATTTTATATTGTATTGCTCGCATTACTTTGAGCAAAAACATCTTTTTAATATCTGCAACACTCTGAAAAGTATTTGCTTGCATTTACACTTATAGCATTATAATACTGATCATATAGAGCTGCCATTATTTTTATTTTTATTTTGTCTCTTGCAATTTAAAAAGGAAAAGTGATAGCAAGTTGAGCAAATAATCAACTTCATTTGTTCATAAACATTTTCTGACATAGAAGAAATTTATTAATGAAAAAATGGCACAAATTACTTAAATATACGCTCATTTTTTCTTGATGACAACATTATAAAAGCAGCATATATATGCACAATAGAAATAACTGAAAAAACAAAACATATAAAAATTGTTGCACAAATTATTACAGAAAACGAAAAAATCACAGTATTTTATTAGTGTCCACTGCGTGTGGTAATATATTGAAATGAGAATAACACAGTGTATGCTAAAAAAAATCGTAAATTTTTTTCTTCATACATTAAACTATATGTGTACACTAATAAAATTTTGTAAATTTTATTACCGTACTAACAATAACTATTAATTTAACAATAAAAAGTAAAATAATGCATAAAACAAACCAAAATGTTTAATAAGTTAATGAGAAAAATTTTGCTAATTGTAATACAATATATGAATAAACAAGCTGGAAAATATAAATATAATACATAGTTAAGAGAGAAAAAATTTTAGCAACTTTTATCAGTGCTGATGGCAAAATAATAGGAACAGTACAATTTGATCACTACATGTGCTCAGAAACAGTTTTTTCCTTCAAAAGATAACGCGATTCATATGTAATTTACGAGTAAAGTAAAGTAGAAGAAAATAATTATTTGCAAAGAGTTTCTGGTGACATTGCTCACAACTCTCCTTCTTTTTGAAAAAAAAATTCCTTCCTTTTCAATCTTTACATAATCAGTAAACAAAACTTTTACAATGTGTGTATAGGCTTGAATGTGTATGTATATGTGTTGTTTGTGTATGCGTTTCGATGCGTGTATGTGCGTGTAAATGAGTGTGTGTGTGCGTGTGCGTGTGCGTGTATTTATGTATGTTTATAAGCCAGTATATACGTGCAATTGTGTTTATAAATTTGGAAATTAGTGAATTTTAAAGGAGTCAAGAATGCATATGCTGTAGTAACATGCCCTGCGAGAAATGACTGATTAATTACTAAAAATGTTTATCAAAGAAATGCAGAACAAATCATTCATTATGTAAAGTATCATTTTCAACTAGATTAAGTGCAAATTATGACTCACATCACAGCAAATATTTTTCAGAATTTGCTCTTTATAAAAGTTCAAAATAAATCATCAGTGAACTAATTGATAATAATAATAATAATAATAGTAATAATAATAATAATAATAATAACATAAATGATAATAATAATAATAATAATAATAATAATAATAATAATAATAATAATAAACATCATCAATACATTACTACTTATTAAACTTTTGTTTTTCTTTTATTTGCGATCTATTTTGAAACTTAAAAAATTAAACAGAAACTGAAATACAGATATTATTTCATAAAATAATAATATTAATGCATTTTTTCAAAGTTTATCACATCCAACTGCTTAGATGTTAGCAAAAAATTTAAAATTATTACTGCAATACTGTCTAAAGCTAAATAGTGAGAATGCTTTTTATCATTCATTTTTCAAGCAAACATGCAAAAAATATTAATAATAAGAAGGCAAAAATAGTTACTTCCTTGAGATAAGCTAATAATTTTTGAAATTCTGCTAAAAACTAAACGATTGTGTTCTTGACGTCGCATATTTTAGCTCTTTGCTATTCAATTTCCAAATAGCAAGTGCAAAGTTGTATGGATCATTTTTAGTCGTACAAAAATTTTCTTAAAATTTGATCGCGCAAAAATAAATATTCAGAATATTCATTGCAACACATTCTGAATATTCAAATCAAAAGATGTTTATTGCACTTCTTGATAGCTAAAAAAAAAAAGCTCCGCCAAAGTTATTTTTACAGATGCTGTAAGCTTAAAATTTTTGAGCAAATTTTAAAAAGTTTTGTGAGGAAAAAAAAATTTGAAATTTCTTATCAAGATTGTTTTGTTTAAATTTCACTACAATTTGCATGGCATCATTTTTTTTTCTCTAACAATAAACCAAATAGATATTCTAACTGATGACCTCTTTTGTTTTATTCTTGAGAAATATCATGCAAGATTTTTTCCACTGCATGAAATTCTTTTATTGCTTTAGATTAATTTATGTGAAATGACGTTTTTGCAAGTGTAGGAAAGCGTCGATATCGTACAGTATGGCCTTTAATTTAAACTTTTTATTGTGGTTAAAATAATTTTTTAGGTACTTGGTATCTTTAAACAATTCTGACATTTTCTTCGCATATCATTACAATTCATTATTTGTACTAAAATTGCATTAAAAAAGATAATGTAGCATTGCACTAAAGCTATTTGTATTACAATATGGTAGTGCTAATCGTATTAAAATTACAAATGTGAGATAAATTAATAACATGAAATGAATTATGCAAAAAAATAATAAGAAGCTTAATGTGAAATTAATTTAAATACAATTCCAGAAATAAGCGATTAAGATTTTTAAATTAGTTGCTCAGAAGTTTCTGACTGATTAAAATACTTCTCGTTTATTTTTCTTGCAATTGAAAATTTTACATTTTTTTCGATCAAAAATTAAAAGTCGTAGACGAGCTGTGTTTTTTGATGACTTTTTTGATTCACTTAATGAAATTTGATTATGCAGATTATTGTTTTACCATTTAAAGAAAAAAAATATGTAAATATCTGATGATTTTCGATTGAATACTGTTTGTTTGTTTTTGTTTTTTGCAGTCAAAAGTGGACATAAAATTTGCATCAACGAATGGTTTATTTGTCCTATCCATTCATTCGCATATTATCGTATATTTATAATATATTAATTCTGTGGTGAAGAAATTTTCAAGTTTTAACCGTTGCTTTTTTTGGCAATTATTACATGCTTCTATAATGAATATTACTTTTATCTTCAATAACAATGAATTTATTCAAATTTAAGAAAAAGTTCATGAATGTCTCATAAAATGTGACTTATTTTCTTGTATTAAGTTCTTAATTTAATGCATAAAAAAGCGTTTTTTAGTTAAAAAATCCTGAAAAAGTGAATACAAATTTTCTTGCAATTAATATTTGTCAAATGCTACTAATTTGATTGTTGAATTTTTCGTATGTCGTAAATTTTTGCCTGTTTGAAATAATATTCAACAACAGTCTCAGTTTTCAATTCTGAAATTATTATGTGAGCAAAGAATAGAATTCAGTAATACACAAACAGATACAAATCCACTAAGATATTTTAATTTTTTTACATCTTTAGCAGTAATGAGTGAATGAAATGTAAAATTACAGTAGTTTGTGGTTGTAACATTGTGATAAGAAATTTAAAAAAGAAGCATAAATGTGGCCGGCATGCAAATGATCTGATTCATACCTTCAAGTATCCTTTCAAATTCAATTTAACTTTCATTTTAAACTAGATGTCAAGAAATGACGCAATAGTTTTCACTGTTTAATAATATTTAATTTAGCTGAAATAGCATTCATCAAACGCTTTCATCTTTTTATGCAATGATGTGCAACACCGATTTTATAAATATATTCGTGAGTTACAGGTTTTTTGACGTATATGAAATCAAAACTATACATTCGATATTCGAAAAATGTGAAAAGCAATCATTAAAAGAATTTTTTTTGATGACTATTATTGAGATCACACCAAGTGTGATTATAATTTTTGAAAATTTTTTTACGCATCCAAAAAATTGTTTCTTAACAAGTAATGTATTATTAAGCAGCTACGTTGAACATTATTGACTTGAGAATCTTTGAACTAAATTAATCAGACATTTTCTTTGATTTTGGTGTGCTAACAGAAGAAGATTAATAATAACATGAAAAAAAGAAAATAAATCAGCAAAGTTAATTTTCATACTAATTAAAAACTGCTGCATGTTCAGTTCGGTCTACCTGCACTTCTGCTTTATAATGCTTCAAAAAAATAAGCATATAGTTAGAAATCACATTATGAAATAACAGAGAAATTACGATTTCTATTACGTACTAAATGCAACGTATACACCATTGCAATCAAAAATTTTCATAGTGTTACAGCATATGCAACGTTGCATAGGTACGCGGTAAGATTTAAATTTTAAATGGATTAGACGATTGGTTGATTGACCGGCTGCACAGGTGGTGGGTGTCCTCTTCGTCTTCATTTTATTACACTCCTTGCTTTGTTAAATTATTTTCAGTGCTTCGAAAAAGTTTGATCTACGGCTCTGTTTTTGCTCTTCTCTGTAAAGATGTCAAACTTCCTGAAAATTTTCCGTTCCAAGAAACCATCGGAAAAAGAAAATTTGAAAGCGGACAATGCTGAGGTGGCATATTTAAACATATTTCGATCGTTATCTTTGTAACTAGCCAATCTGTTATTGGCTTTATTCTCATATACCAGGTTGTTGTAATAGATCTCAGTAAATTACATGCGTCTCCGCTACTCGTAATGATTGGGTCATCCTTAAATAAATACGCTTAAATAATCGGCATTGATTGCTTGACAGAAACTTATTCGCTCTCTACGGTTACCAATTTTTGTATCATCCTGAGTCAAGTTCTTTCTGTGAATGGTTTAGACATAATTAAAATATACTATGCAGGACCTTGATTAATTTTAGGAAAAAGTAATTCATCGTAGCAAAGACAATTATGGGGGTGCATCATCATCGAAACGCGATAAGCGTATTTCTCGAATACGTAGCATTGATGACTCTTTCATGAAAGCAACTGCTGCTTATCATACGGTTACTCAACCAAGGCAGTACAAAGTTTCTCGATCCTGTGTCGGGAGAGATGAGTATGATAAGTGCGACAAATTTCGTCATTCAGTTGACTTGCATAATCGGGTGTTTCGTTATTCATTTTAATTTGAATTTTAAATTTGTAGGTAATTTATGACTTGCATATGCATGCAAATTGTGTTATTGTAAAGTTTTTTTGAGAATACTTCTCAGTACTTCATCGCTCTTTGTGAAATCATTTGTTATTAAAGCATGTTTCAGAATAGTATGAAATATGGGAAACGGTCATATCTAGAAAAAGATCGGTATAATGAACGGATGTTGTTAATGGGACGAAACAATTATGATTCAGAAGTTTTCGATTCTGATGATTCATATGACTCGCAGAATGAAGTTGGACGAAACAGTGATAACGCTGTTCACGTAAGTACCTAAGTCTTGTAAAAGTCATTATCTTATAATAAGGCACTTTATTTGCATTACTTTGGTCGGCGATCTGGCGTTCTAGAATAGCTATTTTTTTAGGCGTTAGAAATGAAGCTGGATGGTCTGTTCTACCGCCTTCGTCGAGAAGAAGAACGCAAAAATGCTTATAAGCAAAAATTAATGTCCGAAAGAATAGTGAGGCAGCATGTTGAAAGTAAATTTGTTGAAGATATCCAGCGCTTGACACAATTAGTTGAGACACTAAAGAATGAACAAAAATCGTATCGTAATCGCATTATGATTTTAGAAAACGTGAGTTACCGTCTTTAATGAGCGTAGATTATATGTTTATTCGAAAAAGAAGTCCATCAAGAATTAAGTACAAGATAAACAATAAATTACCATTGTTTATCTTGTAGTTAGCTCCTTAAGGAACGTTATATTTAGATAAACTAAATAACATGAAACATCAGCGATGGAGATAAAAGTTTAACTAGACTATCTGCATTATTTTTTATCATATGGAAGGCAAAAATAACGAACAGTATTCCTTATTCAGGTAACTGATTGCATTGTTTCAGCAGATTAAACAAAGTGGCTTAAAATTAGTAGCAGATAGCTTAAAAGGATCGTCTCTTTTCTGTTCACCTCCATCAACGTCTAATGCGCAAGTGCTAGCAATTAATGATTTAGCTTGTTCAGCCACTTCTGGTTCTACCGTTCCATTAGCATCTACATTGCACTGCAATGCAATTAATGAAGAAAGCATTGACGAAGTGAGGAATTTTCGAATCAATGAGGTATCATATTATGAGATTGTTTTGTATTATATATACATATAGAAAAGAAAATGTGAAGGTTAGTCTCCTTTTTTGTTTCACTGATTCTGGCGCTGGGTCATATTCTGACACTCCGGCTGTACTTGTTTCGGCTCAGATTTGTTGTACTGACCTCTTTTCCTTCATCCTCGTGAAATCCTACTCGCGATTGAGTTAGATGCATTCGAGTGTCTTCTTGAGCACTTTCGGTTGGATGTATGCCTCGACGTGGTCTGATATAATAATCTCCTTCGCATAGCATTTGTGGAAGTTCGTTACAATCTAATCCCAAGTCTATCATATACAAAAGTATTTTGGTTCTGCATCTCATCTCTGACCCAAGCTTATTAGCAAGCTGGTAATATTTTCGCGTTTTCTCGGTCTCGATTGCTTTCAACCTATCTTGACAAGTGACGGCAACCTTTATCAGCATTACTTCACATCGCTTCTAATCGTAGATCATGATATCCGGTCGATCCACACTTATCTTTATAATTACTCTTACTCGCGTATTGACTCTGATCTTTACTTTTTTTGATAAAGTTCTTGCTATTTAGAGCAGTTTTGGCTAATCGCTCAATTGTCACTAAAATCTCTGCTGGGGCTTTATCGTAGCTTTCACGGGAAGGTGCACTAGTCCTGTCTTCTACTATTTCAAGGTATTTGTACCCCTGAGTCCCTTCCATAGCGCTGCTTTATGAGCGAATACCTTGGCGTTAGTAGTGGCTAACTTTTCTTGATTCACCTCATATCTACCATCAAGAAGCCTCTGAACTTCTTCAGCCATAGATTTCATGATATCGTTGTCGGTCGCAAAGGTCTTGAGATCATTCGCAAGCAATAAATAATGCATTCCTTGATCGGTTGGAATCGCCACTTTTGTCTGCCTCATATTAAGCAGACCTCAATGGGGTCCGTTCACAAGACAAATAGCATCAGAGAAAGGCTATCATTTTGGGGAATTCCTCATTATATTTTCTTCATTTTATAGTTTTCCCATTGCTTTTCAGTATAATTGCCCATCTAGATGTGATGCTTTTCAGAAACCTTTCTGATCCACACTGGCATGTTAAGCCTTTCAATCAGATGCTCATCAATAACTGAATCGAACGTTTTTTTAATGTCATACTACGTAGTACATAGCTGGTTTTCATGCTCTTTGCCAACCGTCAGGTTCAGCAGTGTCTTCTTTAACCTGGACAACAGTTCCTAATTGGTTATCTGCTAGTAGCTTTCTTGTAGCAACATTTAACTGCATGATACGTTCCACACATTTCGTTGTCAACTTGTAAAGATTCAACAAACAAGTTATTGGCCTGAATTAACTGCCTTTACCTGGAACACTTTTTGGAATCAGTTAAGTAGTCCCTTTGTTAAATAATGGGTCCTATTTCTTCCCATCAAGACAAATTCGGCTTCAGAAGAGAAAGTTTCATGTATTTCATAATCTGGAACGAATCTTTCCACATATTCGTTGTGCCTGATATCGTCATCCTTTCCCATCCCGTAATTTCACATCGTACCCCTAAAATCCCTGATTTCTTCTGTCTCTATATTTTGGTTAACTGGTTGTTCCTCGGTCAGATTTCTATAAAACTTGACAGCTCAAATCTGGCGTTTTGGATTTTTAATGCACACCGGGAATTCATAATTTATAATTTTACTGTCGTAAACCTTCATACGCTGTGTTTCAAACTTTTATATATATACTTCAAGCTAAGCACATATATGTATGGTAAGGTGAATAACAAAGATAAGTTGGTTTTTTATTGCTCATTTTTTTGAGTGTGTTCTATTTATTTTTTTGAATTGATTCTTTATCAAAAGTGAATTACAGTTAACCCGAATTTCTTTTAATAGCTTGTACCAACTCCAATGCTTCATTGTATTAATATTATTAGGTCACTTCATCTGTGGAAGCTGAACGACGTACCATATCCGGTAGTTCTTTCTCAACACATGAAAATGAGGGTTCACCAACTCTGGAAGAAACTTTACGCACCATTGATCGTGCAACTAAAGCAGCAGCAGTGTCGCATCAGGGGTTTCCCGATAAAATCTCTGCGTCAAAATTACGTAGATCAAGCAGTGACACCAGACTTGGTCATCGTGATATGATGCTAAAATCAACTAATATCTAAGTAGTTTGAGATGTGCTGAGCAGTGGTGAATCTTTGTTTTAGCTACAGGTATCTCTTTTCATAATGTTGTTTTTGAGGAAAGATCAAAAATTTAATTGCTCTTCTCACTCCAAACAATGTTAATTCTTCTACTTTATTTTGTTCAAATTAATTATCTTGAGAATAATGTTTGCTGCACTATCTGATGTTTTAGTACTTTTTTTAATGAGCACCCATGGCATATTTTTTCATTGATTCAGCACTGTATGAATAGATTCTGAATGACTTGTTGCGTGTTGCTGATCAGAAATAAATTTTTTTTTTCGAATGTTACTTTCATTCAGTTTTTTGTAGAAAAAATGTGGTGATTTCTAGCTGTAATTATTTGACCTATTGTTGCACTCATTTTGGTCAAGTTGTCTATCAATGTTTGCGTTGTATGCAATGGATTTTTTTGGGTGTCAGTTAATTATAATAGTTTATTATTCTTATTTTATGCTATTAAAATATATGGAACGATTCCGTTTTTTCTAATTTGGGATGTAGGTGTTCATGCCTTGTTATCAAGTAGATGGTGACATGAATGTAATGACATCTTGAACAGTTGTAGCCTCAGCTTATCTAAGTTTCGTACTTCGGTACTACTACTGTTTTAAATAAGTCACAGGCAAGTGAAGTTCCTAATTGGAGGTGAGATTAATAAGAGAAAAGTCTTGTCAGCCGTAAAGCATTTAAACAGTAGTGCTTTTTGCTTTGATATGAAATATCAAATTTCAGTGGTTTGTATTAAAGTCCTGTATTAATTACTCTTCATACGTCAAGTACTATGCAGAATTTTTTAGAGCATTTCTGCTCTCATGATCTACTGATTTTCAATTAATCAAAATGGCAGTCGCTCTATTCATGTTTGTTGGAAACCGATTGTAGTGACATAAACCAAGTAGATAACTAGCTATTGTTAGTTAATCTGACATGAAAGTAGGTCTTTACTTAATGTCTTTCCGTTTGATCCAATATTCAGAGAGTAGTGAGGAAAGCAGATGTGATCTGGCAGGTGCAGTTTCTATCGGGAGTTGATCTTTATCACTTGTTTCATTTAAAAGTCAGGCAGGCGGGTACTTAATTAGAATGAGGTCAACATCTGAAAGAACTTAGATTATTACCAAGCAGTCTCTATTCAAATCGTTTATCCTTGCCTTTTGTCATAGTTGTTTTTTTATTTTAATTTTTTACCAGTTCAATTACTTTGCAGTCTTCTACTATACATTTACTACGAACGAATGATTCTCATCAACTGCTCTATTCACTCTTAATATCATTGTACATCTGCCTTTTACCTTGTATTTCATTTCCAGATAATTGTTTAGGAGACTTCTTTTTTCTGCAAATTTCATTTTTTATACCTCAAATGTTATGTACAAAAATTATATATATATATATATATATATATGCTTTGTAATAATTAACATTGCGAGAATGAATACCAAAAGGTAAAATTCTGAAGTATTTTAGAACAACATAATGATTAAAAGGTGGATGAAATGGAGGAAAAAAAGTAAAACGCTGGCGGTATGTCATTTTATCTACTCCTTTCTCTACATTTAACCAAAACCTGTTATGCTCACTTTAGTAACGCTAAATATTTTCATATCAATCTTTGTCACTTTCTCAACATATATAAACTTGATCTTATAAATTTTTAATTTTTAGAACTTGAGAAATGCCGCTATTTTTGCAGAAATATATGCTGTACTATTTAGCAAGTAAATGATGACCCAGTCGTCACGAATAACAGTGACTCACATAGCTTGCAATGTCTTGCTACAGCAGCTTTTCATACAGAAACAAAACCGAGAACATATCGTGGTCCACGTTCTTGTCCTGATGATTTACGCTGTAGTCATTGTGAGAAGTCTGGTATTTTCATGGATAGCTCTTTCGACTTCAGGAACAGCAATTCACGTGACATGGTTGGTGGTAATTTTGAATGTTAAAATGTCATCCTCATTATGTTCTACCTACTGATTTCGTTATGTAATCTTTGAAATTTTACTTTTTAGTTGGTCGAAGTTATAGTTGTAGTTACGATCTGTCTAAAATGGGTTCCATTTTACTCCATTTTTTGTTCAGATAGGAGTAGATGTCGTTGCTATTTAATATCCATAGTTTTAGATGCATCGGAATCGACGGCACCTTCAACGCTTTCGACCAACCCGTGCATCTACTTCCGAATATGGTAGTGGTGACCCTTCACCTGTAGCTTTGTACACTGCATATAACCGTAGATTGGATAATTCGGATTCAGATTCTTGGACTGTTGAATATGAAAGAACCCAGCATATTATAGTAATTTTGAAACTTCTCAGTTGATGATTGAAGCATTCGTTTTTTTACAGATTCAAAATTTTTTTTCGTATATTTTTTAAGTAAAAAGAAGCATTTATAGGACTGTTATCGTTATCATTTTTCCCATAATTTTAAAAGTGAGTTTAAAATCGTTTCTGGTAAATTAGTTTGCAAACATTTGTAGGAGTTGGAGTCAAGGATTCGAGAACAAAAAAAAAAATTGAGAGATTATAAAGAAAAATTGAGAGTCGAAAGAGATTTGAGAGTTGTTAACGAGAGAAATATGATGGAGGAAGTAGAAAAGTATAAACATGAATTGAAGAAGGAAGAACGAGAAAGGAAAGCGACGGAACAAAGATGCGTTGAAATGATTACTTATTTGAAGAACAAACTTTCGGTAGTGTTTAGATTAAGTCCTCAAAATTATAATATGAGATTTCTTTTTCTTCTAATAGAAACAATTTCGAAGTTGAAGAATTAGTTCTTCTGCTTCCCAAAAATGATAGTTTTGAAAACAAAAATAGCTTAGCATCGTTTTATTCATTTGAGATGGTTACGAAAAAGGAAAACCTTAAAATAGGTCAAATTTTTAGATGGATGAAATTGGAAAGTCTTAGATCTCAGTACTGAATTTCATCGTCTAATCTCGTTTTCAAAAAGCACTAGTGACTAGTAATTCTTTGGCATTAAAATATAAGAACAAACTGAACTTAAATATGTGGATTTAGAAGATTCAAATTTTTTTTAAGCTTCTGGAACAGCAACAGTCAGTAAGTCAACGACATGTGCAGCCGTCAATGCCTATTTTCAGTGGTTCGAATGTTAGTGTGGAGAAAAGTATTCACAAACTTGAAAGTAAGTTTAATCTACCACATTCATTGCAAGTTAGCACTGCATCATCAGCGCTCTCGAAAACAAGTTTCAATCAAGAATTAGATGAAACGAAAAATTTTCGAGCACCAAATGTGTATGGTCACATAGAAATCATTCGAAGCAGTGACCACATAGCATGCAGTGAAGTACTTGACGCTACTTGTTCTTCAACCACAGTACTTCAAGAATATGATTCTGATAATGATGATAATGGTTATGTGACTACATCTGAGTTCCTCACAAAAGCTACGCAAACAAAAGATGGTTGATTATAAAAGTGAAAGTGCACTTTGTAATTTATTCTGAATAGTGTAACTGGATCAAAGTTCTTCATATCTCTGTATTGAAGCATTAATTGTTACTTTTATCATTGGGCAATTCATCATATTGTTTTATAGTTGCGTTGTTTCAAAATTTATCACATTATAGAATTTAAAAGGCATTCTTACAGCATACTTGGCTGCTTCTGTCTTTTTCATATCCTATTCTTTTGTATTTATTTGCACTATTTTGTTTTCTTGAGTTATGAAGAAACAATTTTTTTTTTGCATTTATCACCAAGTTGAAATGACCCGTCCAAGGTACTAAAATTGTGTTACATATGAAGCGATTCAGGAAACCTTTATGACGTAATAGAAATTGATGGTGTTTCATAAAGATTTATCATTCATTAGAAAGGCTCCCTGTACATCAATTGGCAATTGCTATTTCCAGAACTAGTAGTGGACGGAGTGACAAGTCTGTAATTGCCAGCACTATATTTATTTTCAATAGGAAAATTGTCTTAATGTTTTCTGTTGACATCAAGAGCCGGGGATCATCGACCAAGTTTCTGACCCGTAATAAGTAGTAGTCAAGACAAGCTCATCTGATTTCTAAATTCTGGAACGTTCCGACAAGCATGTTTGTATCCAGTGGTTTAGTTTTCAAGAAAGTTCTTGCTAAATTCACTTTAAAGAGATTGATATGCTTTGCGGGAAACTAGAAGCCTCTTGTCTAATATACGCAGTATTAAGATTTATTTGTTATTCTTTTATATTTGAGTATCTGACTAATATGTGATGAATTTTAACTAGAAATTCAAATAGTAATGCAGATATATAGGGTTGCACAACATTACTTCACATCTACAGCAAACGAAAATTCTCATTTGAACTTAAATTTTGTCATCACCTTTAGGGTTCATCTTATTTGATGAAATTTTCGAATATTATTTGTAGAAATGTATTCTATAATTCTAGAATTGTATACTTGATGGAATTTGTCACTTAAGAACATTTGCAATCTACTGAACTTGTTCTAGTTCATAAGTAAATTTTAAACAGTAACTTCTGAACCTACCAATTATATTACGCTGCAACTGAAATTGATCATCGCGCAAAGCAGATACCATTTTGATAAAATTATTTTATTAATAGGCAGTATGCAGTGATAAATGGTGTAAAATGAAGTAAACAAAGTTAGATTGTATCTCAGAAAGTGGTGACTAACTTTAGAATTATATATGGTTGTAGGACGTACGAGAAATAAATATCAAAAGATATAACTGATGTGTTCTCAACCTATTTTCTTTAGTAAACGAAAACTAATTATTAATACTATAAAAGATCATTTTATATCATCAACTGTAACTTTTCCGTTTAACACAATTCCATTTTAGATGTCGTAAGTGTTGAACTGCTAATGAAATCTGTGACTGAATAATTATCAGTGTAGAACATCTAAAAATGATAATGATAACTGTAGTCAATAAAAATTATAATTTTAACCAAAAATTCATGCTATTAATTAGGTTTCAATGGAAGAAAGGTCTATTAAGGCCTTTTATGTAAAAGTTTAAGTAGCACTGAATAAAGAAATAGAGTTGTTAACTAATTCATTTCCTTGAGGAGGACTTGTGATAATTTATGTATATCATTTCATCAGAACAAAAGTTTTCATCTAAAATTATATTCGCAAAATCACTATGCAAAATACGATTTGACGGTAAATTACGCAAATGTAGTTAATTTCCAAAAATAGACTAGCGTTTTTACAAGGTTTTGTCAAAACATTTTTATGTTCGTGTAGATGAGTGCTAAAATTTACCATGGAAAGTTTTTTTTTTTTTGAAAAAAAAGAGTACTCAATTTTAATGAGTATTATTTGCAAGCACTTGCACGAACACGTACGATTGGTAGTCACTTTATATAAAATATTCAAGAAATGAAAATCACTGACATTTATTTTTAAAGCCTAGCTTATAAGAGTTAATGACTAAAATTAGCATAATATTTTGAGTATTACCTGTGTAGATGACAACATGGAGCAAGAGTATGACATTGTTTGCGTATGGACCTGGATGATTTTCTACAATCTTTAATACTTTCCGGATATCTTATCAATTGGATATTCGAAGGAAGAGAACGCGCAATTCGTTCACATCGCATCTGCTGAACGACAATATTGTGCTTACATGATTATTAATAAAATATAATCAAAGGATAATGATTGTGATTATTTTTGCTCTCAAATAATACTGATTTTATTTTATGTCAAAAAGTATACCTGAAAGTAATCAAGCTTGTCAATTAGTCCTGCATTTCGAGTTTGCTGAAGACAGTCCCTTTCAAGTTCTGCTTTTCTAAGCTGCAAACCATCGACCGCAGCTCGAGCTGAACTCAGAAGATTGTAGCACTCTTTATGATTCTTATTTGCATGTTCTTCCAATTTTATGCATTGCCGTTGTAGCATCTCAAGACGCTTTTCACAACTCTCATACTCTTTGCAGTAATCATTCTGAAAAGTAAAAAAAAAATACTTGCAATATCGTCGCTTATCGATGTATGCATTACACATAAAATAAATTAACTCTAAAATATTATGTGGCTTAAAATTTTACTCTGAGAAATTTTTTTTTTTACTAAAATATATCAATTTTTTGAAATCAAATTTTATGGCAGAAGAAGCAAACTACGTAAATAAAAGTTTATTCGCTTCAAATTTAAGATTTTTAAGTTTAGGAATAAAATATTTTTAAGAAAATAAGTAATGCCATTTCGATTTAGTACTTTTTGGGTAAATCTCTTTTATTTAATGATTAATATTTACCACTTTCATTAATATAAAAAATGCTTCATTATTTTGTACACAGATTTTTGATATAATTTAA